AAATAATAATAATAAATACTATCTTTTACGATATAATAAAAACCCTGCCAACAAATCAACAATTGCGTGGGCGACAGAATTGAGCGCGTACCACTTCCACTTACTTGAAGGGTGGGCTCACAAATTATTTGGGCGATCAGAAAGTGGATGTATTAATGGTACCTCGAAGTATTTTTTTAACAGATCAGGGTGTTAATTAATCACTCGATCAATCTGGGTTGTGCGCCCCAGTCAAGAAAAATGAAAATCTAATTCCATCTTCGCTCCTGCTAGCCCAATCTGCACAAGCACAAAAACATTCTCACCATGCATTTTCCTCTGGATGCTGAAAGATATGCGCCATGAGTCCATGACCAAATAGATCATGAAGGCATGAACCATATCAGCATCCAAACTATCTTCTTAATTCCCTGTTAAAGATAAACCTTCGTGCTTAAAAATGCTTCCTTGGCAGGAATTAAGGACACCTAAATCCCCCTAGCCATAGCACTTTTTCCATGAATCATTGTACCAAAGCACCCGGATGATCCGAGTCTCTTCTTCTTGTCCTTCTCTTCCTGCAAAATACGCACTTGGACGTACGAGGCGGCTGGCTGGATATCATTAAGAATACCTCTCTTCTTCAAATTGCTGTGTCAGTACACAATAATCCTGCGGCAATGTCAAAACAAAAGCAGCTTCGAGTTTGTATCATATTTGTAATATATACACATACAAGTACCGCGTCTCGATGGCTGTCCAAATGGCTGAGCTTAAAAGCTACTTGTGTAACCTCCGTAGGAGATTCCTCTACTTCTCCAAGGACCAAGGCTAGTTTTTTCTTATTAAGCACTATTAGCTTTAAAATTCGAGTTACAATTAAGTGAAACTCAATTAAAAGAGGCGAAACTGATTTTTTTTCTCCATTATATTAATTTCTGATAAAAATGTATGAAATATCTAGGTACCAAAGATGCCATGGCTTTTTAAAGGACATCATTGGACGCTTAAGGGCGAAAGAAAAGTCTAGTTGACAACTATTGCTTCAGGAACTTGTGCTAAACAAACGTGAGTGTTTTTCACTTTTGATGACCGTAATCTGTTTTCATTATTATGTCCTCATTTTGTGCAGCTATGTGAGTTTTTATGACCAGTTTGTCATGGCTGTGCTTAATTATTAAGATCTGTCGTAATTAATTCTTGTGTCAAATAGCTTCTCTTGTTAATTTTTGTAAATATGAACCTCCATATTATATATGGTTGCATTTGTGTGTGTGTGTGT